TCCCTGCCCCTCCCCTCCCCCGGGCCCACGTCGCGTGCATTGTGCTGTCGTCTGACTACCAATTACCAACTCGTCACATCGGGTACCGTTGCTTGGACAGAGCAAACCCCACAATGCTGGAGGCTTTTGATCACTTTACTGAGCTGCCCGCTAAGCGAGCCATCATCCCTACAATTCTCGCCATGCATCTGCACGCCGAGCCGGTGAGTTCGTTGAAGCTGCTTCTTGACGGTTACGCAAACCGAGCATCGGAACGGATCCATATATGATTGACCGAGGCAGATTTACAATAATGCGAGGCCTATCTTCGCTTTGGACGATACCTAAATCTAAAGAGGCTCTAGGAAGGCTGGTGACGACTAGTGTCGGCTTAGCATCGATGAGGAACCGGGTCTGACCGGGATTCGTTCGATAGGACCCAGGTCGGAGAAAAGATCTCGTTCAGTTCGGTAGGTCCCGTGAACCCTGGAGATCCCACGTTGTGGATCATCAGGTAGCATCACATCCTGCCTCCTTGGTACTGCATATTCGACTTTACACCTACACCGCACAGGGTACGTGCAGCAAATATTGTCTCGGTCTCCATCTTGCGCCTCTTGTTGGCTTGCATTAGTCGTTCGTCCACCTCTGCGGCTGAACAGCTAGGGGCCATGATGGTCCAATCCTATAATGCCTATTAGCTAGTCTCGCCAGTTCTCGTATTCCATCTCCGCCACTGTGGCACCGAACCAAAATGCCAGCAACGGCTAGTGTTGGCATGTAAACGGCCAAAACATAGTACAGTTACCAATATGACGGCAGCTTGTAGTATTAAAGCCCTCCTGTCTCTTGCCTTGGGTTGAACATGTTTGGGTTGGTTCTCTGTCCGCGTTGACCTCCTTAATTCAAACAGTCTGGAATGGTTGTTTTTGTCCCTATTAATTCTTAATACTACTGTGTCCTGGCTCCGCTCCAGGCTAAAGCCTCGCCATGCGCTGGAACACACGAATCCTGTCGGTGATGCTCTTACTGAGCTCGCTGGCGAAAGCAGATCCGACATGGCCTTCCCAGATCGATGAGCTGGAGGAGATTATGTATCAAGTGCAAGGCTATCGCTCCCGTCAATTTGGCGGGACTGTTATACCGTGCTCAAGCGAAGCCTCAGGACCTGGGCGCCATAACGCTGCTGAGTGGTTGAGAGCCGCTTTCCACGATATGGCGACGACCACCATTGCCGGCGGCCCGCGACAGGGCGGAATGGATGGCTCATTACAATATGAAATCACAAGTTCAGACAATATTGGCCCGGCTTTCAACACAACCCTCTCCTTCATGGCTGACTACTATACGAGTAAATCTGGTGTGGCTGATCTTTTGGCTCTGGGTGTGTACTACGCCGTGAGATCTTGTGGAGGCCCAGTCGTCCCCATTGCTGCTGGTAGGGTCGATGCTAAACAAGCTGGCCCTATCGGTGTCCCTCTGCCCCAAAACTCGGCCTTTACGTTCGGGCAACAGTTTACGCGCATGGGCTTCAGCCAAACCGAGATGATCCAAGTCGTTGCGTGCGGCCATACGATTGGTGGGGTCCACGAGACAGAATTCCCTGAGATCGTCCCAGTGGGCAGTACGACAGATGGCGAGGGACCAATGGACTCTACGGAGGCTAAATTCGACAACAGAGTCGTCACCGAGTACGTTTCCGGCAACACAACAAACCCTATGGTTGTGGGGCCCTCGATCAAAGCTACGAGGAACTCCGACTTCAAAGTCTTCAACTCCGATGGAAACGTGACCATCGCTACCCTGACAGACCCCGAGACCTTCACCAGCGTCTGTGCTACAGTATTGCGCAAAATGATTGAGGTTGTTCCGGATGGTGTTGTCCTTACCGATCCTATTCAACCCTATGCTGTCAAGCCAGTTGAAATGCAACTCACGCTGGAGTCTGGAGCTTCAACCATGCAATTAAGCGGACTAATCCGAGTTCGCACTACTGACTTCGGATCCGACACTGCTGAGAGTGTCTCGCTGACATACAAAGACCGCAGTGGAGGTGATGATTGTGGTGCTCTAGGCTGTACGTCTACAGCCCAGCTTCTAGGTGCTACCCAGGGCTTCGATGACACGTTTGTGGTGAGTTTTACATTATTGTCTGGGATCCCGCGCGTTTCGTCTGGCCTATCTACTAATGGAATCTCTAGTGGTTCCCGATAAATGTTAAAATCCCAACCTCATCGGGTATCTCCTCTTTCACCCTTACTGTCAATATGGCCAGCGGGGCATCCGTGGCCTATAACAACAACGGAAATTCGTACCCCATGCAGGACGATATTATCATGCAGAAACCTCAAAGCTGTTTACTCGAGGGAAATTTGAAAGTTGTGGCTGCCGTGAGTCCAAGCTCTATCTGACATGGATAGCAAGCATTGACATTGAGAAACAGGTTCGCAACGACCTTGGCTCTCAACCAGTGAACTTAGAACTGTCATACAAGACGCCAGTTGGTAACTCAAATCGCCCGGTTCCTACCCTAAATGAGGCTACCGTAAATATGACAAAAGGAGATTGTGTTGGCGTTTACACTTTCTACACGGGCACCTATGAAGGCCTTGGGGAGCTTGATTATGCTACCAAGATTGATGTGGTCACCGGAACTGGTGCATCCTCTTCACGAGATGCCTTCAAGGCAGCTAGTGGCCTAGGAGCTATGTGTGCCACCTTCGATGCCCCTCCGGCTTCGCTCTGCTCACGTGCCAATGACCCTGATCCTCCAGAGGAAACCTCGACATCG